ATGAGGCTTGAAATTTTGCCATTCAAAGATCGAGTCCACACTACAATCGATAGTGTAGAGTTTTCAAACTGTACCATTAACTTTGTCGAGTCCGCAGAAGTGGTCGTGTAATGTTATTTATTTATGCAAATAACGTGTCTGTGAAGTTTGCTAGTGTGTTTGGTGCTGATCAACGATGATGTTATTGTGGAACAACTTAGTCATCCCGAACACGGTCAGCGTTTGAAATATCGAGGCCAGTGAGTGGAGAATCGACATATTTTAAGTTGTATAAAACCTTCTCGAAAAGGTTTCGTATCATGGGTCCATGTACGCATTAAAAGCATACAATAAGTTCAGGTTGATAAACATAAAAACTTACGAGTCCTGTGAAAGTTTATTTGTAAAATCTTTGAATACCTAGAAAATACTCCCGCACGCTCACGTTGCGTTATTTTACTACTACAACCAACTAATCATGTTTGCCACATTGTGAGATACAATGTACATCAATAAGTTACTGGAACACATATCGCTGCTGGAAAGGAATGCACAATGTTAATATTTTACCGGATTATATGGTGATTCTACTGCTATTTTTGGTCTAGGCTCGGCTGCTTCAGATAGAAGCCATGATGACTCTGAATTTTGTATCACTGACACACTCGTGCCAGGGATAAACAATTCACGAGCGCATCCTCAACAATGTCATACTGATAATCTTTCATATCGCTTATACCACGGAGTTTCCATATAGTAAGGGCTGCCAACATGGAGATGCTCATAACTCCTAAAAAGAGTAGTGTAATATGGGTTTGTTCAACTGTAACATTTGTCCAATAACATTTTCAAACTTAAGTTCTGGTATCACCCAAATACGGGCTTGTAATTCCATTACGTGCTATCACACCTTCAAAAACCTAATTACAAGACCGCATGTTTGTAACTCAAAATATATGAATGGACAGCAGGTTGATAGTTATCAGTGGCATCTGATACATTTTGTTTGTTTTCCATAATCCCATATTGACCGATAATAAAATCTGTGACATGTTCATTCAAAATCCATTAAATCGTTGCTCCACATACGATGGTGGAGTAGGGATATGGTGGGAAAATGTGTAAATATTCCAGACTGCACGGGATACTTAATCAGACGCGCACAAAGTTCTGGAGAAATCATCGATATTCACAATGGAAAAAATCTGACGCGTAACAGAGCAATTGCTTACCTACTTACAAATATGAGCGACATCAAATTACGCATGATCCTGTCGATTGTCACGACTGAAGGCTCCTCCGCAATATTCGAGCGTTAAAAGCAGCAATTCCACTATACAGTTAATCCTGTCTACAAAACATTTATCAGCTGAGTTGTGTGAGCTAAACGATAAACAAATAATTCAGTTACTAACACTTTATTAGATATCGGTACTTGATTACTGCTTAAAGATTTGTTGTACAAACAAGAAATAACGAACAAGCCACCAAATGTACATTGAAAAAGTGAAAAGTCACTAAATATACATTCCGGAAATTTTACTCGAACCCTAGGTAGAAAATGAATAAAAGCATACAACGGCAATTCCATTTTTATATCTGTACAATTAGTGAAATAATATATCTTGTTCGGTCCTAAAAAAACCATGAAGAGACCTTTGGTAATCTTGGATTCTTGCAAGCAAATTGAGAGGGGGGTATATTTTGCTTCATTAAGAATATACTACCAGATATGTAATATAATCAGCTTTATGTAAAACGTACGGAATTCGAGTATCAGTCAAATGTACATTTAGTGACTTTTTAGGGTTCCTTATGCGCATTGGGTATTTTCTCAAAAACAATATATGTACATGCTTAATAATTGTACTCTGGGACAAGTAAAGGCTGAGAGTTTCCGTGGTGTAATCTCCGATAAGCTCTCAACACTGCCTGGCGAAATATGAAATGCTTAGTCGTGATATATTAGCGCACTATACAAGGATGACCACAGGCACAGGATGTGCCAACTTAATCGTGAGATAATTACTATCCTAATAATCGGATATTTTATTAATGCGACAAATTTACAACGTACACATGCTGACTTTGATAGTTGCTTAGCGTTAGGAGAGCACGATGAAAGCATCGAAGTACAATATATTTTTAAACATTAAGTACAAAATATTTCCAAAACTTCCCAAACATGGTATTTAACACGTACATTAAAGGCTTGGCTGGTGAGAATATACTTTTCTAAAAATGTCCACTCCCTCTTGTTCTGTCTCACTATAACCGCACCTGCTTGCCGATATGCATAAAATTGATGTAATTGTCCGATATCTCCACAAAAATATTATACTTGGGAACGGTTTCTACTGTAAAAACAATGTCGCAATACACACAACCCGTTTGCCCACATATATATAGTCCTTAATGGGTTAAAAGACACTCGAAATTTGCGCGAAAAATACATGTCCGATATTTCCGCATAAATATTATACATGGGAACGGGTTCTACTGTACAGACAATATCGCAATACACACAATCCATTTGCTCACATCTACATTCCTTAATGGGTTCATCATAGCCTCACTATATAATTTAATTCGAAGCTTTGGCGAGTGCTTGGCGAGTCTGACACACACTGAAAGGAGAAGTACTGTCCTAGTAAGTGCTCGTTTACACCAACGCTGATAATATCGGGGAATGTGTTCATAGTGCTCTCATACAGAAGGAAAATGTATACTTTTGTATGAAACTTGTCAGGTCCAAAACTTTGTACTTCCAGTTGTAAAGCGTTTTGTACTGCTTGATTTTCTCCATCATGCCAATATAGAGACAGGCTCAATATAACGGTGCACACTACACAACATACTGATGCAGCTACATATGCAATCAATTTAGGAGCCGCATTTCTTGATGGATTCTACTGTCAAACATGTAAATATTTCCGAGACGTTCGATCCTAGAAAAAAAACTTAAATGGGCAGATATTTTAGCCAGCCTGCGAAATTGGTTTAACGAATTCAACTCCAATATATTTAAAATGATATGTGCGTTCACAGAGACTTGTCAATATCCATGCACTTGTCTTATTGATTCAAATGTTCCCGATTCTCTTTATTCGTAAGGCTTGACAGGTCCGTCTCAGTATGCATTCGACGAACAACCACATTATTTGATATTATATATCTCTGCAAACAGGATGTTTTGTGTAGTGGGCTGAACATTAGCAAAGGTTGATTCAATAAACGAGCTCAACTTTCCAAATATACTGTCCAGATTGTATGTTTCTTTCCCTTGAGCTACATGTAATTTGCTTATCAAAACTTAAAACACACCCAATATAGTCGCTCAGTTGGGTTCAATTTGATACGTGTAATTACTATTTGCTGTTTTAACAATACGCTCGTATGGAATGCAATGACAGATGTCACCCAGTTTATGCTCATATATTATCCGATAGTATGCCAGCTGCAAGCAATCAGAGCGCTCTAGTGTCTGATCTAGAATGTATTGGATCGCATACGAATACATATCTCTACATTTGATACATCTGAGATGTGGCAACTGAGATTGTGTGCTGAGAAGTTTTTATAAGTCGTTTACACATGATGAGTACATTAAACACGATGGTGAGCCCTCGGAAGATAGGCGCCGAATCTGATACAAATGTTTAGTTTTTGGATGGTTTAAAGTGACCTTGTTACTGCTTGATACGTGAACAAGCTGATATCAATATCGCGACATAACTTTTTCCCAGAGATATTTTAAAGTGTTTCAAAGCGCAAATATTCATTGCATTTTTTTGATTTCATTTTCAAGTAAAATTTAGTGTCCAGCGAAATGTAGCGTATCGAGTCAATCAACTGACTGTTCCGGTGCTCGGGCTTTACCTATCTGCGCTAAAAGCGAGCGCTGTATGCGATCCACTCAGATCGTGATGTATCCACTTGCACATGACTATGTCTAGTTTGTATGTCTAAGAGTCCAAATAGTTAAATTGATTGCACGGGTTGTCGTTTGCCACTGTCTCTGTAGTAAGTGCAGCACTCTGATTTTATGGAGATATCATTGGGTTCTATACCAGTGTATGCCTATACTGCGCCATGAAATTAAGCCATTTTTATGTTTCTTTTTGAGGTCCATGATTGCATAGTAGCCCCTCTGATTTTGATGGTAAAAAAAGTTTTAACTGTAATCACGGCGCTAAAATGGTCCAAGGTCTCGTTTAATTCTAGGGGGGTTCTCTTTCCTTTGCGACTGACAAAATTTTGTAAACCGTTATTTCGGTGGACCTTCCTACTTCACGATTCCTTTCAAAATAGTCTGCCTAGTTTGCAAAACACAGCAGCGATGAAGCTCAACTAAGAACCCAAATTTCAATTTTACATGATTGTAGAACCAAGAACCCGAATCTCAATCTTACATGGTTGTAGAGGAGTTAAGGCTTCGATTCACAATATGCCTATTCTAGATCTGAGTATACGTGATTTAAGTTGCATTACATCTCTGAGTCGAGAATTTAAGGCATCAAGACTTATTGGTTTGTTTATTGTCATCATCACCAGAACTTCATCTGAGAAAGCCTGACATGGTGGACAAAATACGTATATTTCCATCCATACCTTCATTTGATAAAGCCTGGCATAGACACAAACGTATTTCCAGCCGGAACAAGCCTGAAAAATGATATTCCCTTTGGGCAAAAATAGCACCTGATCCTGATAGCTTCTTGATATAAATAACATTACGACCTTTCGTGAAAAATCAACTTTGGTCTGTAGTAGGGCGCTAATACTAAATAGTAACCTGCCGCTGACAGGTGAAAAGGTGCCCAATTCATGAAAGAATATATTTGAATGAGTATTTCAATTTTTACGACTCTACAATTCCACAGACTCGATTCACCTTGCGAACCTATTAAGCATATCCCGGTGTATATACACAATCTTACTTGCATGCCCGCGCCCCTTTACAAAGCTCAAATCTGTTACGAGTTGACAAGAATGGGGGGTGCTCATGACGCAATTTTATACAATGTACTATAGTATGAATTTGAAAAACGAGCAAGTTTTTCCCCGCTTGAATTCCAAGAAATTTCTCGATACTTCCCGACGAGAGTGTGCTGCAAATAAAGGACAGTTTTTATTTTTGCTTTTGTGATCGATTGTGAAATGCCTTCACGAACTAATTTATTACATAATTGAAGCAGCTTATACAGTGTTTAAGTATCAGGCAAGCTCAAAAATGCAACAACTGTGTCTTGAAGAGCTGACATAAAACACATATGTTTTCGCAATTACACTTGAAACATTTATTGAACATTTGGAATGAGCATTCGATGGCAGAGCAATCGGCAAAAGATTACATTTAAAATCCTGGTTTACATTTAACTACAATCACTCTCAAGACCCCTATCATTCGCACTCTGCAACACATATTCTGGCGAATGACTTTACAGATTAGTAAATATAGAAGCTTATTCCATCTCTGTCTCACACGGCTTCGAGCACTTTAACCAGCCCTTGACTATTGGCTGCCAGAATGTAGTTGGAATTGGGCTAGAAAATCAAATCATTGGCAGCGATTAATTATTTGAGTGTACGGGATGATGAGCCAAATTATTCAGTGATTTAAGCACTCAAACAAAGTGGATATACATCAAATCTCTACTACACATCGTACATGTAATTTATAATTCTTTCCTCTCGTGTGATAGTGTATGATTCCAAATGCCACCTAATCTATGTATCGAACCCTTCACCGTGCACCGTACGTACAAATATAGTATTCTTTCCTCTCATACAACGTTGCGAGATTCAATTGTGTATACAACAAATCCCATGATGAATCTAGTTGAAGTTATCGACACTGTACACGAGATTAGATCATACCTTCCAGCACACAGAGCTAACGAAGTGGGCTACATCGTCCCGGGGAACTTCTTCGCCCGTTATCGGATCAAATGTGGCGAAGCGATACTGAGCTACAGGCGAAGACAGACCCTTGTAGTAGGCGTATACTGCATTGTTTTCACTTCCGCATGCAATATAGTCACCATTCGATGTCAATCCCACAAAGTTTCTGGTATTGCTGTGGCCAGTGAAAGTCTGTATTATTTTTTTTCGGCCAGAGATATTCGAATATAAAAGGACATAGGGAATTAGCCCGGCTGTTAGCTAGTGACTTGTGTGTAATACTTCTTGCGTGTAATACGTCTTGATTTCAATGCTTCATGACGGGCAATGATCTAATATTGTACATATTTCGGTCGGAGTAAAATATTACTAGCTTACAATTATCTACAAGGACGGGCCAGGAAATTTGGCGAAAAGAGTACATCATTTGCTACTGTGTACCTTGAGACCACACGTGATACAGTTACACATTGAAACCAGGTTTATACATACGTAATTTTGAAACTAAGGACCGCTTATTGGCTAGTCCTGTCTGTACGATTAGGACAATATGAACCCTTTGCACTATCGTGCATACCTCCACTATGGGATCAGTCTGATCTAGCTTCCACAGTTTAAGAGTAGAGTCGGTGGAGGCCGATGCAATCTCGTTGTTGCTCAGAAAACGCACGTAAGACACGGCCTTCTTGTGACCCTTGAGGAGAGCAAGGGGGCGCTACGGGAAAAAAAAAAGGAAACAGAAATTGTTCAAAGATGCCTACAACAAATGATTCGACAGCATGGAGGGAGATCACAATGGGATAAGTTTGTGTAGTGCATTTTCGTAGTAAATTGAATATTGGGAGCTCCACATTGACAGACCAACCCAAGCGCTTACTTCTGTGCACAAAAATATTCGAGATACAAAAGCAAACATTTACTGTTTTCCCACACTCACCTGAGGTGCTCTTAGGTCATAGTAATGTATATGATGATCGGCGCCACCAAAAGCCAGGTAATGTGGTTCGGTAGGACTGAAGCGTACACAACAGACATTTGCTGAACTTTGTATAGTCTTCACTGATTGGGCACGGTTTGTACTCCATATTTTCACTGCGGTTCAGTGCGTATAGTATTCGAGTATAAGCTACGTACGATATACACGAGGCGTGTCATCGCTGAATCAAAATAGCTCAAGAGCATGCTGGTGTTGCTAGCAAACTGCGAAGGCGAGCAGCTGGCACTGTATCAATACAATTGCGATTCACGAACCAAACAACTGAATTGGCGAGAAGCTGGTGCAATATTACACTTTAACTCGCTTGCAAGGTTATGTAGACTCCCTATTATCGCAAGTGCGGGCAGCGCTTTAAATATAAATAAACACTGCCAGAAATGAGGATGGTAGTATCTTTTGTAAAAATGAATCACATCATAAAATTGGCACAATAGAAATGTAAGTAATGAGAACGTATAGATAACGAAAGTAAAGCCTGCAGAGAAGTTCAACTATATCAGACAGCGTACTCAAGAGGTTGTTCAATGCATACCTTTCGAATCATCCGACCCCGAAGCTAATAGCTGAGGATTTCGCTCGCAAAAATTAACAGACCAAGCTCTCTTATCATGTTCTTGAAGCTTGCATGTAGCCTGACCTGTCACAGTGTCCCACAACTGTACCAATCCATCGTAATCACAGCTAGCGATCTGCTGCTTGATGTACGGATTCCATGCGAGGCAGCTGATATTGTACACCAGTAAAAAAAACACCAATATATGGGGTTCATTTCCAGAGGATAGAGTCATGGCACATTCGCAACTAGTAAAACTTACCCCTCCGCTATACATTTGCATCTAAATCACAAAGCAGAATTCACAAGTTGTTGTGCGATTGGCGATTTTGTGAGGCCAATTGTACCTTTGGTCTGGCATAGAGACATACAGACCTGATTTTAGCCGTAGACGTCATTTCCCTAGAAGGTATGTGGCGATCCACTGCTCTGGGATCGGCCGCCATCGCATCAAAGTCAAAAAGCTTGATGCTCTTCGACACCTGCAATAAAACGTTAAGTACAGTGGGAAGAATATAAATATATAAACAAACACGTCAAGACAATAGCTTTCAATCTATAGTGGGATGCGTCACTAGAAGGACAAAGCGAGTGCTCGCTTGCGCGGACGCTTTCTAGTATGACATTATCATAGCGGGGATGAACTTAGTGCTGCCATCATTCTTTCAAGAACAGCATTGGTGCCGTGTTCACTCCAACACAAGTTCATGACATAACAAATCTGATGTCTAAAAGCCACGCTTGCATAGGATATACAATGACATCCGCAAGACTCAATCATTATCGACGGAGCACAATTAGTCATAGTCACGACAAACTTGCAATAGCCTGACTCACCCCGGCAGTCGCGAAATATTGTCCTTCTTTGTCAAATTCGATACTGGAAACGATCGAGGAGTGATTGTAGAGACCACTGAACGCGAAGAAGCTCTTTTCCTCCAAACGACTATAGCGCGTGCAATCCTTCAAGATGTTGCGGAAGTCACTTAAGGCCTCCCGATTGTCAAACGCTGCCCTCGAGAGAGTGAAAAACCGGCCCATGAAATGAACGTGTGCTTGAATGTGTCCATCTGTCAGTCTTGGTCCATGCACGTACGTGCGTACGAAGTCAAGAAATCTCATACCAAGCCAGCTGACGGATGAACATTGGGAGGCCCACAGATGTGATTCATTTACAAAAATATACGATTGTCATTGGCTCAAAAGATAGGGCGCACATACTGTTTCTTCTGATCTCGAAGTACCGTTTGGTGATGTTGGTCAGGTGATTGTGAACCGCCGTTTTCTTCGTCTCTAACCGTTGGTTAGAGGGACTAAATAACTTCTCAATCCTAAGGGAAAGAAGCACAAAAGTACCCCGATTAGATACTAGGTGCAACATCGCCTAGATAAAAATATTTATTAAGGCGCAGATTTGTGTGACGCTTCATTTTGTCGCGCGGAGATGTAAATATATCTTCTCGATTGAACATCACACATACAGAAAGTCGGCTTTATTACCTTCGGGGTTCAAAAATAACCAGGTATGTAAATCAGGATTTTGCCTTTACAAAAAAATGCTTTTAGGCACTACGTTTCCACCAGAGTATTCCAATATTGTCCCAATGCTCGGAAGAAGATACAATTTAAATGAGGTACACAGAGTGCACACCATCTTACCTGCTTATTTGTCGACTGGATGTGCTCGGTATATCTTCCGTAACAGTTGGCACTCGACTTTGACGTGTGACAGAGTAATATCTGTTAATTCAAAGAAACCGAAGATAGTTCGGCACTATACAGTATTAAATTAGCTTTTTCAAAATAATTTCGTCGGAAGCTTTTGAATCCTATACCCCCGCCCCGGCACACATTCGTTCAAAAGATAATTTATCACTCTCCTATCAAATCGAGGATCTTCAATGCGAAAAATTGTGCAAATACATTCTCACCGTAGCTGTTCGGTACTTGTCGATGGAGGCACCTTCGACGTTTCAAATGTGGCGTCTGGTCCACCCATCTCGCACATTTCATCAAAGGTTCGCTGCAAAGCCAATATTCGCGACTTGGTTTATACATTCATGCCAGTTTATCTCACAACATGAAAAGGGTTCAGTGTCATCGAAAGACATGCTTCCAGCAGACAATTAGGCATCAAGCACAGTGTTTGAAAATTCCAGCAGCGCATAAGTATTTTTAAGCACTTACAGAAACGCACCTTCCCAGCCACGCGGGCTATGCGCGAGCTCTCGCGCCTGTCTTGAGCAGCAGCTCGCAACAAAGAGCCGACCTCGTGATCCCTCTCTAGCATGAAGATTTCGTCTTGTAACTTGCGCAGGACTGTTCTTCGGCTATCCAAAGATGCTTTGAAAAACTCGCACATGACATCTAGGTCCAAAATCTCAGACTGCTCAAGCTGGACTGCACGTTTCTGATGAAGAACCTTGAGCAGAACCTCGATGTCTGATTTATGCAATGATATATTTAGCTGTCTATATGCGTGATCTAATGCTCCAACAAGCCACCATTATCAGTCAAATCAGATCGTTTATGGAAGTCGTCAGTACTTCTCCACACAACCACGATCATGCACTGATTTAGACGGAAAAGGATGGTTGTGCTGAGTAAGAAATGTGAACAAGTTTACTCGCAGGCGGATATGCACCTGGGCCGCACGCAAACACTAATTATACAGTACAGTGATGCGAAACCTCGCTAAAGAGCACTATAACAATAGTTATCACTGTAGACGCGATATTGAAGATCATCCGAATTTTGCCGTATAGTACTCCACACCGCATACCTGTATCGTCGATATGCTCCCGAGTTTGAAGTAAAGAGATAACGTCCTTCATTCGCGCAGTACCATCCTTGATTTGACTCTGATTCTTACCCGACATGAGGTCGTCCACTATAAACCAAGCAAAGGCATCAGGCATAAGCAATACGTGCGAATTTCTGAAAACCAACGTTAGCAACACGAAGAGCAACATCTCGCTAATATTGTTATACATCGCCAAGAATTTGAGAGTTTATTAAGGGGATATAGAAAATCGACATGGTTTTGCAAAAAAATAGTGTTCTCGATCGCTCATGATACATTCTCATCGTCAAATAGAAATTAATGATTTGTGCGACTACAATTATTCGATTCAAATAGCAGATGCGTAGACGATGTCTTTGAGCGAAAAGCTGAAACACCGAGTTCAACTGACATTCTGAACATACAGAGGAAGTTGTGGAATAAATCGGTCTCAAACAGTTCTTTGCCGCACACTGGGCATCCGCGTGCATACTCCAGATGCTTGTGTATGCACGCCGTGCAGAACGAGTGGCCGCATTTCGTGACTGCTGGTTCTTTGATTGTATCTCGACAAATTGAACTGCGAATCAAGGGTGCGCACGGATGAGTGACGAGTGTAAATCAGGCCGAGGTTATTTAATCAAGCCAGCAAGCAGACCAAAACAAAATATATGTAGGCAATACAGTAAGCAGTTCAAAACAAAATATATGTAAGCAAGACAATAAGCAGATCCAATTAAAAGATATACAAGCCAGGTAGCAAGCAGACCCAACTAAACTAGATGTAAGCAAGACAGCAAGCAGATCCAACCAAAATATATGTTTAGCAAGGCAGCAAGCAGATCCAAACAAACTATATGCAAGCAAGGCAGCAAACAGATCCAACCAAAATATATGTTTGCAAGGCAGCAAGCAGATCTAGCCAAAATATTTAAGCAAGGCAGCAAGCAGATCTAACCAAAATATATATAAGCAAGGCAGCAAGCAGATCTAACCAAAATATATATAAGCAAGGCAGCAAGCAGATCTAACCAGAATATATGTAAGCAAGGCAGCAAGCAAATACAACTAAAATATATGAAAGCATGGCAGCATGAAATCCAAGCAAAAATATGTAAGCAAGGCAGCAAGGAGATCCAACCAATATATATGTGAGCATGGCAGCAAGCAGATCTAGCCAAAATATATGTAAGCATGGTAGCGAGAAAATCCAAACAAAAATATGCAAGCAAGGCAGCAAGGAGATCCAACCAAAATATAAGTAAGCAAGGCAGCAAGCAGATCCAACCAAAATATATGAAAGCACTGCAGTAAGAAAATCCAAACAAAAACATGTAAGCAAGGCAGCAAGCAGATCCAACCAGAATATATGTAAGCAAGGCAGCAAGCCAATACAACTAAAATATATGAAATCATGGCAGCATGAAATTCCAACAAAAAAAATGAAAGCAAGGCAGCAAGGAGATCCAACCAAAATATATGTAAGAATGACAGCAAGCAGATCCAGGCAAAATATATGTAAGCAAGGCAGTAAGTAGTTTTGGCCAAAATTTATGCACGCAATGCAGCAAGCAGATCAACCCAAAATGTATGCAAGCAATGCAGCAAGCAGATCAACCAAATTAAATACAAGATATAGGCACCTGGCGTGTAGTGTAGACATACGAGTACTAAATCCGTAGGTCTTGTTAGTGTATGATCCAAAGAAATTCACCTATGTCTACACAGTGTTACATACAATGTTTAGTAGTAATGCATCGACACTCGCAAATTCTAGGGGGTTAACAGGTAAATAGGTACGCGAGAAATATAGTCAATAACAGCAATTGCGCATCGATGTGATACTTAAAGGAAACCGCACATATACTTTTATCGTTTACGGATATGATTATACGGGGGCAAAAGATCTAGAATGGGAGTCCTACTCGAAGAACATCTTTGGGCAAGGCAAGTTACGGGATATTTACGCACGATTATATGATAAAGGGGCCAGATGACCGTCTCACCACAAATCGCGAACCAGCCTTGTCTGTTAAAACTAGTATGAGCTTCCCAATATTTTTCTCACACTATAACTCCGTGTAGTCATACGCCACCAAATACGCATAGTGAACTGTTTACAAAACAATGGTCACAAGCCTCAGTCCGACTAACAATAGATATAATAAATTTACTACCAACACTGAAGCACACAATCACAATGTAAGCTCAGTCTACGACACACTTACCATTCCATACGGGGCTTGTCGGATTTGGCCACACTACGCGATCCCTCTCCACTGTCCACAACCTTACTCTCATCTTCTTCCTGTTCTGCTACAATTCCTCTTGTATTCGAAGGCACGGCTCTAGGTCGAGTGGCGGGGGTACGACCACTCAATGTGCATACAACACCTCTGGTAGTCGTACTTTGATCAGTTGTTACATCGGCGGGCGTAGTTGCATTTGGTTGTATGGCTATTGTGTGCCGTGATCGCGTCGCAGTAAGCTCAGCATCCGTATTGTTGGTACCATGCAGTACGTTGGCATCAGTATCATTGCCTTGACCACGATTGTGAGTTGTGACGCTCTGGGTGTCTGTGCTGACAGCAGCGGTGGGCGTTGTAAGATTCACAGCGTCCATACTGTACCTCTCGTGTGTGTCGTACAAGTCATTCAGACACGCAAGCAAAGCTTGTCTGCACGTTGACCACACCACAAGCTCTGTGTGCGTCTGCAACCATGGCGGCCTGAGCGTGGAACATATGTGGTAAAGCAGACAACCCAAGATATGATCCTATGTATAGATAGACTACATTATTCACATATGATGTACGCCATACATCCATACAATGAACTATTTTGGTTGATTAGGATATTATGTACTCAGCTATGTATTCACAATACACATGAATGACACGATAGCTATGTTTTTATATAAGTGCCCTGCAGCAATCTTCTGCTGGTTCATCCAGAAAACCCGCTCTTTCCCGATTGCCCTAGTTTTTTTTTGGGGGG